CTTAGTGCCTCGCTCTTAAATGCGTGCAACCAGCCAGCCAACCACCACAACACACTTGAGGAAGGCCCCTAACCCGAACCACATAGGTAAAAACAGACAAACTGAAAAAAGGCATTTGGTGGAAGAAGGGGAATGCAGTGAGCAGAAGAAAGCCTCAAAAATTCAAAAAGCTATTGCATCCATTATTAAAAAAAAATAGGTTGCTCTTAAAAATGAATACTCAGAGAAGAACCTCAAGGATTTTAAAAACATGACAAATGAAATTAAAAATTAGAAATAAAACGAAGCCAAGAAAATCACACAGAAAAGATAAAAATATAAAGAGATGGATAATAAAAAGGAATTTTAGAAGGATCAATCCAAAAGGCCCAATAGTCAACTAACAGAAGTTTCAGAAAGAGAAGGAAAAAACGGAGGAAAGACATCAAAGAAAGTTTTATAGAACAGGATAGATTAAAAGGACCCACTGAATGACCAAAACAAAGACAGATTATTATATTGTTTTGGAACAATGAAGGATCCAAACACTTCTGGAGATAAAACAAAACAAACAAATAGACCAAAACCAAGTCATAGACACAGGATAGAGAATCAGACCACATCAAACTTCTCCATCACAGGACAGAGGTTAAGGGGTTTCCCAGGACTGTAACGAAGACAGTAATCAGCCTCAGAATAAAAAAGCAGCAGTGACTATGCTCAACTGGACACTCAGTACTGCCTGGCAACATTACTATTTTTCTATTGTCAGCTCTCCAATTCTCTGTAGCAACTATTTCAAAAATTTCCCACACCTCTCATATTATTGACCTATCAACCTTCTCCCTGTTTCTCTCATTTCAAATTTCTTAGAGAAAATAATAAAAGCCATCAAAACTTACTCAACTTTTTGTTACCTGCACTCTGGATCCCACCTCCTCCTTTCCTCTCCCTTTCTCCATTCCTTCCTTCCTTCAATATTTATTCAGTATCTAGTATGTGTCAAGCACTTTGGTGGCTGTTAGAGGTATGTGATGTAATAAAATAATACAGTGAATGTTTAAATTTTTAAAAATTATTATTACAGTAAAAGACACATTGCCATTAATCCCCCTGAAAATACTCTCCCTCGCTTCAAACACACTTATCCCATCATTCTTGCCACTTGGTGAAACAGTTCTGGAAGTCCTCTTTCATGAGTTTCTTTATTTGCACTGTTGTGGATGCCTCGATGACCTGAATTAAATAAAAACGTTACCTTTCATGGTCATTTTGACTTTGGGGAAGAGCCAGAAGTTGCACAGTGCCAGATCCAGTGAATAAGGTAGATGAGGACACACTGCAATGTTTTTATTTGACAGAAACTGCCGTACCAGAAGTGATGACACGGAGCCTTTTTGTTGTGATAAAAAAAAATACAGTGAATGCTGCTGCCCAGTGCCATCCAATGGAAAGGCAGGGATCTTCAATACAGGAAGCGGCACATCAAATCTCAGTAACCGTGTGTGACAAGTTTCAACTTGTTCAGTGCAGTCAGTCGTGTGTGAGCTACGGTTGAGAGGCGTGTTTTAAAGTGTGCCATAAATCATCCTCCATCATAACAATGTTCCATGTCACACATCATTTCTGGTACAGTAATTTCAGTCAAATAAAAACATTATGTGTGTGTCCTCATCCACCTTATTCACCGGACCCGGCACCATGCAACTTCTAGTTCTTCCCCAAAGTCAAAATGATTCAGGACATCAAGGCGGCCATGACAGCGCAACTAAAGACACTCTTGAAAGAGGACTTTGCTCCAGAACTGCTTCAGAAAGTGGCAAGAACGATGGCATAAGTGTGCTTGAAGCGAGGGCAAGTATTGTGAGGAAGATTAATGGCAATGTGTCTTTTAGTGTAATAATTTTTTTTAAATTTAAACATATACCATATTGTTTAATCACACCTCATACAATGGAGAGCAAAAGATCACAGCCCTGCCCTCATGAAGTTCACAGTCTATAAAGCACAGATTACAAACTGGAAGATGGTGAGCCAACTCCCACCCACAGATAAGTTTTGTTTGGATTACACAATATGTTTTAAAACTTTTAAAAATAATTGTCAATACTGAAACTTAGCTTCTTGTGAAAAAAAAGTCAGAAAATCTGGCAACACTGGGCCTGAATTAATAAACAGCAAAAATCACCTGTAGTTGGAGTTGCCCTTTTATTATTATTATAGTTTTACATTCATTATGTTTTCTTTTCAACTTTATTTTTTGAGACCTTTTTTTTTTTTTTTTAAGATTTTTACTGGGGAATTGTGGGGATGGGAACAGTGCTGGGGAATTGGGGGAAGGGGAACAGACAAGTTGCTGTCCTTTTGTTCTTCAGTCTAGTTGTGGAGGACGTTGCTTCACTG